TACTACTACTACTACTACTACTACTACTAATACTAATACTACTACTACTACAGAATCAAAGATAGATCTGTGCTATTTAAAGAAATGGAAATATATTTTGGCCATAATAATTTCTGCATAAAAATCCATTTGAGTTTTTGAAAATATTTCCTGTGTACCTTCATTTTTTTGGTTTGAGTGGAAGGCTTAAAAAAGAAGACTAGTGTGTTTCCAGTGCAGAAGAGGAGAATGTGTAGCTCTCCAGATGGTGCCAGATTCCAGTTTTTATCAAGTGAAGCCAGCCTAGCCAATTAACAACATGTAGAAGACCACACCTTCCTCACCCCCTGTTCTGTGGCCAGCAGGCTTAACACCCTTAGTTAATGGCCATTTGTGTGGCCCTTATAGACCACTAGGCCCTGTGATTGTGCATAGCTGTAACCCTGGATTCCTCCTTTCTCTGTTGCAGCAGAAAAGATTATGGCCACGATCCGGATCTCACCAGCAGGCTATGGGAACCATACTCAAGACAGCCTTGAGCACTGGAGTCCAAGCCAGTTGGACAACGTTTCTCTGTCTAATTCTACCATTCCTGTTGCATTTGATGACAGGGCCATTGACTATGTCCTACAGGGTATTACTGTTGTGATCCTCTTTGTTGTCATGATGTCACTAGGCTGCACCTTGGATCTCTCCAAGATCAAGGCTTATTGCTACAAACCCAAAGAGGTTGCTATCGCTGTGATAGCCCAGTATGGAATCATGCCTCTGACAGCATATGCCCTGGGCAAGTTCTTTCGGCTGGAGTCCATTCAGGCAATGACCATTCTCATCTGTGGCTGCTGCCCAGGTGGAAATCTCTCCAACATTTTGAGCCTGGCATCTAAAGGAGACATGAACCTCAGGTAAGGAGGTTGTGTGACAGTGATATTAAAGCCAGCAGCTGCTGGTCAGTAGCAAGACTGCTTTTGCGAGTGCTAGGAATGGTTGATTTCCTGGATTACAGTTCTCATGATCAACTAGCAAACACAGCAGTGGCCATCCAAGGGGGGGGGGTGTCACTGTAGTCCAAAAAAAGTAATTTCCAAAAGTTCTTCTAAGAAAGGGGGGGGGTGTCATTGTAGTCCAAAAAAAGTAATTTCCTAAAGTTCTTGGTTTTCCTTCCTAGGCTGACTGGAAGTGTAGACTCTCCCCATTCTTCTAAGAAGGACTTAAGCAAGGCAACCTTTTCCAACCAGGAATCTGGAGATCTGCTATGATCTACGTCAGTGGTCCCCAACCTTGGGCCTCCAGATGTTCTTGGACTTCAACTCCCCGAAATCCTGGCCAGCAGAGGGTGGCGGTGAAGGCTTCTGGGAGGTGTAGTCCAAGAACATCTGGAGGCCCAAGGTTGGGGACCACTGATCTATGTAGCTTTCATCATCCCCATCTAGCAGGACCATTCTAGCAGGGGACTGCAGGGCTGCACAGCTGGAGAGTGCAAGATTGGGAAGGGCAGAAATGAGGTCTGGACTGTGAATATAGACTTAAGTGAGGGTGGAAGCGGGCCTTGTATAAGTCAAGCTGTTTGTGCATTCCATGATTTTAGAAAACCCTGAGTTTGATTTGATTTATATTCTGGCCTTCCTTGGAGGAACTCCAGTGCTGAACAGCCTATATAAATGCATACAGATAATACCACAAAATAATATCCTCTAAAATCAGTGATCAGATATCTAAAATAATCATAAATGTTGGATCCATAGCTCATAATTAGGCATGTAGGTGGACGGCAGCAGGGAGGTGAGCAGGATGCCACCAGGGGGCACTCTTAACTTCATATAATTTGAGTTCATTCACTGGAATGTCTGCTTGAATATCTTTGTTTGGGACCGTAGCTCCCACAACTCCAATTCAGGCTGTCATTTGGTTGGAGTGTCCTGGGAACTGCAGTTGAAAATACATTTCCAAGTTGTAATATGAACCCAGTTCAACCATTCTTTTGAAATGGGGGAGGGGGTAGACTAGTGCATGCTGAGTCTGAACATCATCACTATCCTAGAACTACAGAGCTATTCAGATCAGGGGAAGTGAAACCAACAAGGAGTATATATCAGGGATTTCCTACCAACTCTCCTCAGATAGAAGAAGCTGCTTGGATAAGGAGTGAAATGTTTCAACCTAACAAGATGCCATGACTCAACTTCCAGACACAAAACTAGAAGGGACCCTATGGATCATCAGGTCCAGCCCCTGTCAAGGAGGCACAGTGGGTAACTGAATCCCAACCTCTGGCTGCACAGCCACATTACTTAAACCAGTGGTTCTTAACCTTTTTGAAAGAAACGCCCCCTTGAGCCATTGAGGAAGTTATCATCGCCCCTCTCGGGTAGGAGCGGTTCTGTGCCAGGAGGATGAGAATGGTGACCAGCATCCGGTGTCCTACCTGAGTAGGAAACTTCAAAAAGGTGGGAGACATTTGGCAACCGTGGAGAAGGAGTGTTTGGCCATAGTCTACGCGATCCAGAAGGCCAAGCCTTACATCTGGGGAAGACATTTTATTCTGTGTACTGACCATTCACCATTGCAATGGTTAAAGACAATGAAAACCCACAATAGCAAACTTATGAGGTGGGCTTTAAACCTACAGGACTATGACTTTGAAGTGAAGGTGGTCAGAGGGTCAGTGAACTGTGTTGCTGACGCCTTGTCAAGAAGACCTGAAGAATGAAGACGGCGAAAGAAACATGGACTATGTATATATATTGATGACAAAAAGTTAAATGTACCTGTTTTTTGAACTTGGTTTGTATGAATAAAGGTAAATTGATGTAATGTATATGGTAAATGTTTAAATGCCTAATTGCTATGGTTAACTTAGAGTGTAAGTATAAGTAAGTATGATATTGTATGTATAACTGTTGTATGTTTTGAATTCAGGTTGTTTTTTTGGGAAAAAGCACCTTAGCTTTCCCCCTACAAAACAACTTATAAAGAGGGGGTTTGGCTGGCTCCAGTGCCCCCCTACCACCCCCTTCTGTTCTTTTGCCCCCACACTGCCCCTTTTCGTTCTACCACCCCCTGAAAAATGAAATCGCCCCCTGGGGGGCATTATTGCCCACGTTAAGAACCACTGACTTAAACCACTGAGCTATCTAGCAGTTGAATAGCTGAATCTTGGGTGTTTTACCAACTTTTTGTCCACACTCAGTGAATTTAGTATTTTTAAAGTGTGTGAAATTTGTCAAGTGAGGCTATGTTAGGGTCACCACATCCACAGGACAGCCCTTCCATGAATTCCTACTGTTTCTCTTCCTTTATGTCAGCATTGTGATGACTGCATGCTCAACGGTCTTGGCACTTGGCTTGATGCCCCTTCTCCTGTTTCTCTACACTAAGAGTATATATCAAGGCAATTTAGAGCACAAAGTGCCTTACAAAACAATTGTTTTCTCCCTCTTCATGATCCTTGTCCCCTGTGCCATTGGGATCTATTTGAATGAAAAGAAGCCACAGTATTCTCGCTTCGTTGTGAAAGTAAGTGAAATGTATACTATTTAGATCTGTTTTCACTATTTTAAACTCTGTAAGGAAATTTTGGCATTCTCATTGTTATTTTCTACCCTGCACAACAAGAATTCACGTTCTACATCAGACCCACTACTACCTGTGCGGTGCAATTCTTAGTTCCTCCTACAACTAGACCAGATAGACGGGATACAAATCAAATAAATAAATAAATAAATAAACTTCATGTATCAGTGCATGTGATTCCCCAAATGTTGCTGCATTCCAGTTCCTTAGCAAATATAACCTACAGTAAGGGATGATTGGATTTGTAGTCCAATAGCACCTGGTAAGCAAAACATTCCCCATCTTCCGCTTTATTTGCTTTATGGTACTTAAGTTGTCCAAACCTTTGTGTTTAATTCGGAGCTTAGCAGCCAACTGGTTTGAAACAGTTATATGAGATACTATTGAACAATGGGAAGGTATTTATGTAGTGAGTGTGGTTGTTGTGGGTTTTCCGAGCTGTTTGGCAGCATGTTCTTAAGGTTTTTCTTCCTAACATTTTGCCAGTCTCTGTGGCTGGCATCTTCAGAGGACAGGAGTCAGAGTATTTAGTGAGTATGTTTAGGGAGTGGCCATATAGACATGTCCAATACGGACTTCCTTTACTGCTTTAGAGTTAATAAGAAAGGGCCACAAAGACCAACACAAATTATCTGTGGTTAGATTTCCATTCCTCACTATGTATGCTTCAAAACAGGACAGGCTTCATTTTTGGGTTTGAGAAATCACATTAGGGGTGCTTCCTGATACTAAATATGAAATAACCTTAGAACTGCAGAGCTGGAAGGGACCCTATGGATCATAGATTCCAGCCCCTGTCAAGGAGGCATGGGGGGAAACTGAACTCCCAACCTCTAGCTAACCACTGAGCTATCCAGCAGTTCAATGAGCAAAGGCAGAGATAGAAAAAATGGGTTTTGTTTTGTTTTTTGGACTAGAGTTCCAAGGATATCCCAACCATCTGAAGTGGTCTGGAAGTTATAGTTCAAAAACCTACATTTTCCAACCTCTGGTCAGAAATGCATGTGTGATGCCTGTATTTCCACATTTCAAGTTGCTCCTAGCAATTTCACTACAAGGCAGGAATCATTCAAGGAAAATGGTACATTAGGGAAAAGAGCAGTTTGCTCATTTGATGTTTTTAGGCCTAATTCCTTCTGGTGGTCCAACTAAAGTAGACCCATCAATTCAGCAAGATTTCTGAAGATGATTCAGTAAACAGAGTTTAGCTGGAACTACTAACTGTATACAGGCCCAGAAGACCAGTGGTTGCCTTTCAGTGCAAGTCTATTCATCATTCAGAAAAATAAATATTCTGACATAAATTCTATAAAATGGAGAGAAAGTTACCCCCCCCAAAATGAATGAGTTTCACTGTTTCTGTTAGCAAAACTGAACAGAATTTCCAGAGATGTCTTTAAAACCTTAGATTCCCAAACAATGCCTTTAAAACCTCAGTTGAATATTTCAAGACAATTACGGTTCAAAGATCTAAAGTGCAGTTAAGAGTATAACTTCTACTCCTGAAATACTGCCACCTAAAGGAAAAGTCCCAGTGAAATGAGCTGGTATAGCTCAGTCAGTTGGAGCACCTACAGTAGCTGCCCCACCACGGATTAGAGTTCTCGCTGTGCTGCCTGGGAAAAGGATAAAAGGAAGCAGCATTCAGACAGGGTTGGTCCAAAAACAGCTTATGAATACACATGGTATGTTAAAAAAATTAATTTCCTTTTGTAGCTTTGGCAGTCCTGTGGAGGAAAGGAGATGTTGGCAAAATGTTCAGTGCTGTAACTACTTCTTATATTATTTTCACATAAAGAATTACAATGTTGATTTGTGGCACACTTTGTGTTACTCAATGGGACGTGGTGGTACTGTGGGTTAAACCTCAGAAGTCTCTGTGCTGCAAGGTCGGAAGACCAGCAGTCGTAAGATCAAATCCACATGACAGAGTGAGCTCCTGTCATTCGTCCCAGCTCCTGCCAACCTAACAGTTCGAAAGCATATAAAAATGCAAGTAGATAAATAGGTACCACCACAGTGGGAAGGTAACGGTGTTCCATGTCTAGTTGCACTGGCCACGTGACCACATAAACGGTCTACAGACAAACGCTGGCTCTAGGGCTTGGAAATGGGGATGAGCACCACCCCCTAGAGTCAGACATGATTGGACTAAATGTCAAGGGGAACCTTACCTTACTTGTGCTACTCACTTTGGATGCCAAAATGGCCTTGTTCATGACTCTGCTGCCATTGCAGGGCAATGCATCTTCCCTTGCGTCAGTCATGAGTAATCAGGCCAAAGGCATGCCAACTTTTTGGAAATGTATACTATTACTATACAACTACTAATAACAATTTTCCCAAGTTGTGGTCTAGCCTACCTGTGTTACCAATGTTTATATAATGAAAGATCTGGAAGAAATGCCTCATTATCTTATAAAATGGAGCCAAGCCACACCCTTCGGTGGCTAAGGAAATGATATCAGCCAGAAGCACACAATATAGCACTATTTAGCAGCTGCTCCCAAATGTCTTATCAGGCAATGATTTGTTAACTTCTTTTATTATTCTTTTTTCCAGGCAGGTATGATTGTATTGCTTCTGTCATCTATCCTGACCATTGCTCTGACTGTGATCCATTTTGGAAGCAGTATCTTATTGATCATCTTCTCTCCATGCCTGCTGGGGGCATGCACTCTCATGCCTTCCGTTGGCTTCTCCATGGGCTACATCCTTTCAGCATCCTTTCACTTCAGCAGTCAGTAAGTCTCCCTACTGGTAACAATCTTGCAGGTAGCCCTGAAAAGCAACATCTGTAATTGTGCTTTTGTGAGAATATCAACCATTTTCTTCCAATTTTTAAAATGCAATTTTGTTCTAAAAGAATTTGAAAGGAGAAGAGATTTTGGAGAAATTCTAATGGATAAGTTTCAGGATTTTTGTGCTTACTTTACTTATGTAAAGGATGAATGTACGTTTTATTGTACACCCACCTTTGTGGAAGCCTTCTCAGCTTCCCACAGGAAAGATGTCACAAGAGAACTTTCCACAGGATTATCAGATCCAAAAGGGTGTGTAGCTAGCAAAGCTGCAGTGTGATTAAGAGATGGGTAACACAAAGAAGAAGAAATAAATACAGGACCCTTAGCCATCTTGCAAAGTTATGGTATACTCAATAATATCACCAGAAGAAATTGGAAAGGCCCTGAGAATGAGGCAGAAAAACTGGAGCAGTTTTCTTTTAGGAAATTGGACATTAGATGTGGCACAGCAACTTTGTCACCTTTTTCCTGTAGCAGGACATGATATTCCTTTGTAGCTACCAAAAGGCTTGTAATGCTGGAAGGAGTTTATTATAAGCAACTTCTGCAGGAGAAACAACGTCTATATTAAGCCCATTGAACTGTAGCTTTCAGAAGGCCTAGCCCTAGACAGAGGTGCTGAACTGATTAACCAAAAACTAGTCGCAAGCTAAAATTTTTCAGATATTTTGCTCTTTGAGACTTTTCTTTTTCTTAATCTGCAAGAGATAGAAAGCCATTTAACAAACCCCCAGAATATAACTCTCTACATCTGTTTTTGTGGCTGGCTGAAACCACCACAATGATCTAGAACAGGGGTCTCAAACTCAATTTACCTGGGGGCCGCTGGAGGCAGAGTCTGGATAAGGCTGGGCCGCATCAGATTTTCCGCCAAGCGGAACAAGAGCCCGAGGAAGCCGCCCAGGAATTTCCTTAGCTCGGCTGGGGCTCCGAGGAGGAAGAAGAGGAGGAAGAGGGGCGCGCGAGGCCTCATCGCTGGTCATGTACCCCTCCAGCTCCTTCTTCACTACCACCAGCAGCAGCAGCAGCAGGACAAAGAAGCGGAGAAGGGAGGGCGCGCCGGCAATCGCCTAGCCGGGGGGGGAGGGCATGACATAAAGTTTTTAAAAAACCCTCACAGAATTCTCCTTGCCAAAGGAGAAAAGTCCCCACCGGTACCCGCAAAATTAAACAGAACGAGGTGGGCCCCCCACAAGTGCACGTGCATGCACGCACACAAACACAAACACACGGAGGTCCGGCAACCTTCCTCTGAGGGCCCCCTCAAAAAAGGCGCACTCAGCAGCAGCAGCTACCCCCACCACGACAGAGGAGCAAACTTTGCAAGGCGAGCCTAGGCAGCCTCCAGAGCCGAGGCGGCTAAAGCAGGATGAAGAGGAGGAGGACGCACTGCCGGGTGCTGAGCCAACCTCTGGCTGGGCTGATGCTGGGGTTGCCAAGAGAGAAAGAGAGCCAGAGAGCTGCTTCCCTGAAAGAGGCAGCGGTGGCTGTTGGCGGCTTGGAGGTGCTCTTTGAGACGGGCCGGGAGCGAGCTCTGCTCTCAGGAATGACTCGGTGGCGGCTCGGGGAAAAGGACCGGCAGCGCGCCTCGCTCGCCGGCTCTCTCCCAAGACAGCACCTCTTGCACCCTCCATCTGGAACTGCAGCCTACCAGCCGGCAGACAGGCAGACTGGGTGGCAGGCTGCAGTTCTGGGTGGAGGGTGCAAGAGGTGCGACATGTGGGTGCTCTGGGGGGGCAGGCAAGGCGGGGGCCACAAAATATCATCCGGCAGGCCGCAAATGGCCCCCGGGCTGCATGTTTGAGACCCCTGATCTAGAACATAGAGGCTCTGAATTTTTCAGTATCATATATTTAAACATTTTTGAGGGCTGAAGCAGGAAAGGGGGACCCAAGTGGGACAGCAGGGGTGGGGGTTGCTTTTGTCATGGCGTGGATGTGGCCCATGTTTGGAGACCCCTGCTCTAGAAAAACAAAAGATGGAGTGGGGGGAGGGGGAGTGAAAGAAGTAAAATGGTGACAAAGCGTCTTCCTTGCTATTCACAGTGCTTGTGCAAAAAGCCCTGCTTTCAGGGGATTTTTTTTTCATGAAACTGTGCTACATACTTGAGGAATTGTTGGAGAACTTTGGCTTCCTTTGGAGCAATGTACTAAAATTGTTACCCCAATACTGATTCCCGTAAATCAGGGGTCTCAAACATGCAGCCCGGGGGCCATTTGCGGCCCGCCAGATAATAGTTTGCGGCCCCCGCCTTGCCTGCCCCCCCCTTGAAGCACCCACGCATCCTCTGCTGTCAAGAATAAAAAAAAGCCTCGCCTCACTCGCTGGCTGTCTCCCAAGACAGCGCCTCTTGCACCCTCCATCCAGAACTGCAGCCTGCCAGCCAGCCCGCCTGACTGCCGGCTGGGAGGCTGCAGTTCTGAATGGAGGGTGCAAGAGGTGCTGTCTTGGGGGAGAGCCAGCAAGCGAGGTGTGCTGCTGGCCCGTTTCCCCGAGTGCCCAAGCCGCCACCAAGTGATGCCTAAGAGAGGAACTCGCGCCTGGTCCGTCCTCAAAAATTGCTTCCAAGCTGCCAACAGCAGCTGCCACCACCACTGCCTCTTCCAGGAAAGCAGCTCTCTTTCTCTCTCGGCACCCCCAGTACCAGCGCAGCCAGCAGCTGCCTCAGCACCCGACGGTGCTTCCACCTTCTCCTCTTCGTCCTGTTTCAACTGTCTCGGCTCTGGAGGCTGTCTGGGCTCGCCTCACAAAGTTTGCTCCTCTGTCGTGGTGGGGCTAGGTGCTGCTGCTGAGTGCACCTTTTTTTGAGGGGGGCCCTCAGAGGAAGGTTGCCGGACCTCCATGTGTGTGTGTGTGCGTGTGCACATGCATGCGTGCACCTATGGGGGCCCACCCCATTGTTTAATTTTGCAGGTACCAATGGGGGCTTTTCTCCTTCGGCAAGGCGATTCTGAGGGTTTTTTTTAATTTTATGCTGTGCCCTCTCCCCCGCTAGGCGGTCGCCGGCACTCCCTCTCTTCTCGGCTTCTCCGTCCTGTCCTTCGGCAAGGCGATTCTGAGGGTTTTTTTTAATTTTATGCTGTGCCCTCTCCCCCACTAGGCGGTTGCCGGCACTCCCTCTTTTCTCGGCTTCTCCATCCTGTTGCTGCTGGTGGTGGTAGTGAGAAAGGAGCCAGAGGGGGTTGTGGCTGGCGACAAGGGCTCACGCGCCCCTCCTCCTCCTCCTCGGAGCCCCAGCTGGGCTAAGGAAACCCCTGGGCCACTTCCTCGGGCTCTTGCTCCGCTTGGCAGAAAATCTGATGGGGCCCAGCCTCACCCAAATTCTGTCTCCAGCGGCCCCCAGGTAAATTGAGTTTGAGACCCCTGCCGTAAGTAGTGTGGAAAGGCTATTTTGTCACAGATATAGTCTGCAATTTAATTGATTTAGGGGGATCCTAGTTCTTTTGCCCTGGGTCTAAGTTAAAGTCAAATAGCTGGAGCCTGGGGTAATCTAAGGTCTGCCTTGTTTGTTTAGAGGGGGGTGGGAAACTATAAGAGCTTAGGAAATTTCCTTTTGGGGGACAACTTTTCTAAGTTCTGGTAGTGGCCATGCTAACTTGGAGACTCTGGGAGTTGTACTACAAAACAGTAATTTTTCTAAATTCTGGAAAGGTGGCAAAGAGAGCTTATTTGCAATTAGTCTTTGCAGACTGCAAGCCAGATGGATAACCCACTCAGTGTGTACTAGGGATAATGCTGGCTATTCTTTAAGATAATACAATATGTGAGTTGTTGCAACAAACTGTTTTTTACACACACACACACCCAAAATTATTGCAAAAAGCTATCTGAAGTACATCATTTGCTGGGTGGCACTCCCTGGGCCAGTATTTCCTTGATGCAAGCACTGATAAAATGTACTTCAGCATTTTTCAGACCCTCCAGGTTTTCAATAGGGAACAGTTCTCCCCTTCACATTCTTGTGTTAAATAAACTTAGCAAAGGATGGTTTGTGGGTTTCCATTTGTGTGGACAGCCTCCACCAGAGCCTATTTATTTCTCAGAAAGCTCTCTTGATGAGTAAAAGGTAACAAAAGCTCAAGAAAAGGAGAGGGGCAGGGACTATATGGTCTCCTGTTTAGTTTAATTATGCTTCAAGTGGGCTTAAGGAGATATGGTGTGGATTTAATTACAGTTCTGTGCAACTTGTTTTCTGCATTCATAGGTGCAGGCGGACTATTTGCTTTGAGACAGGTTGCCAGAACGTGCAGCTATGTACCACCATCCTCCAGATGGCCTTTGCCCCTGAAGTTGTTGGGGCTCTTTTTCTCTTCCCACTTCTGTATCTGATCTTCCAGTTGGGTGAGGGCCTTCTCCTGGTTCTGCTCTTCAGGATATGTGAAAGATAAAAGAATCCAAAGGCAAGTGTCTTCAAAAAATCACCTTTCTTCCTTGTATTCTATAGATTCCCATGCGATTTCTAACTTAATTTGTGTGAACTTCAATTAGAAAATGGTTACAGCTGAGCAACAACTGAAATTAAAATTGCCAGCTGAACAGGAACAACATACACCCAGAGGACTGGCTGCTCCCACATCGTAATTAACCATTAAGGGGAAACTTTCATAGCAAAATGTTATTCTTACATCTGCGTATACATTATAGATTAACAGCAAAATACAGTGGCTAAATAGAAAGGTCAGCAATCCAATTTAGACAGCTGAATATCTATTTTCTTCTTATAGTAAGCATGCTTCCAGCCGCCATTTTTAGAAATATCAAGAGCAGAATTATGAGGGATCAAAGCACGGTTGTTATATACATCTCCCCTTCCATCTCGTCCCTTCCTCAGAGTCAAGCAGACCTTCATGCTTTTAGAGCTGTGTAAGCACTGTAAATGCATTCAAACTGAACACTCTTACCAGTCCTATGATAGGCATCCCTTTTAAAACCAGGGCTGGCAATCACAACAGTGGAAGGACTTCAGTTGAGTAACTTGCAGTGTGTATGTGGACTTTCTGAGAACATGAAAATGTTTCCACAGAACTTCCAGGCAAGAGGGGGATGCAATGGTTTCAGGCTGAATGCCTAAACAGGGCCAGCATGTTTAGAATGAAATTCTCTGCCCAGCTTGTTACAGCGACCATATTGATTGTATTAAATCACCTTCTGGTAGCCAGGAAATATGGGAACCATAGCCCAAAATACACACTGGGTTTATGGAAGTTGCTTTAGGAAATTAACTAGGTTTGCATAATACACAATGCATTTTTAGTAACTAAAATGTTTTTTCTGTACAACTGTCTGCCTTCCTCCAGAAAGTGGTTTCCTGATCTTGCATCTGCAGATTTAGTTTACATAACCTCTTCCTTGTATCCGATTTTATCCCACACACTTCCCGAGACTGTCCGTTAGTGGATACAACAGAAAATCATGGCAGCTGAAACAAAAGAACACTTGAACTGCTTGAGTTCACTTTGCAAAGGTTTTGAGGCCGGGTGTCTTAGCCTTAGCTGGTCTTCCAGTTGCTGCACCAAATAGTATATAATAAATGCTAAAGAAAGCCAAATATATATGAGCACTTTTCAGTCTTAAGATACCTACACCAGGCAGGAAAGTCTGTCCAACTGGCCTTATAAAATTCTTTGCTCACCCAGCAAGGAATTAACCACTGCATAAAAATCCTTGTAGCTGGCTGGATAGTATGTAGCTACAGTCAATTTGAGTCCCTACTGTCTTCCAGGGGAAGAGCAAGCTTGTGTAGCCATTGGCAAACTGCAGTCCAAGGATACTCCCCAAGGGACTGGCAAACCACTTGTGTGTTCTCTACCTAAAAAACCCTGGAAACAGTTCTATGTCAGAACTGACTTGCTGGCATGCAATTATTATTATACAACAAACATTAGGGGGATTGTTAACCAGAAACACATTTTAGTAATTTAATCTCCTTCCACAATGAAGAAGAATGAGTTTTCAAAAGCAATAATGCTACTTACACATATTTAAGAACTTGAGAGACACATCATTTTCTGAATAGTTTTATTACCCATTTTGACCTATAGGATTAAGACATTGCAGCCAAACAAATAAGTACTTAGAAACACTAAAAATCTGAAATAAAGCTTTATTCACAGCTGGTACAGAGCTCCATAGCCAATTTAAATGTTTAATACCCTGAAACGCCAATTATGAGAATATACTGAGAACAGGTGCTCAAAAGTAGAGATATTTTAAATACAAAAAAATTTCTTCAAAGAGCTCTAGCAATTTACATAAAGCTATGCACTTCTGTCTTAATGAAGTGAGCAGGAAAAGGATTATCAAAAAGACAAATACAATTAGTTCAATAACTCCTTGGTGGTCCACATGTACAAAGCTGTTCAACCCCCTCCCTCCCCATTCAGTCCCTTCCCCCAGAAGTCACATACTTACCACAACTAGCAAGTATGATTTTAAAAGTCCCCAAGGCAAACTATTTACAATTCAGTTGCCGCTGTCAACAGATCGTGATCTTGAACGCGACCTCTGGCGATCAACGGAAGCTGGAGACTTGGATCTACTTGAGGAAGCACGTTTCTGACTCTTTTCAGGGGCAGGAGATCTACTAACTGAACGTGACTTGCTACGGCTCCTGCTCCTGGTGTAAGATTTGCGACTCCTGGAGCGAGAACGGCTGCGGGATCTTGAGGAGCTCCTGCTACGGGAGCGAGACCTGCTCCTGGACCTACTAATAAAGTTAAATGCCCAGTTTAGATTGTAATAATGCATAACTTGCATTAAACTATATATGAATACCCAGATTTTTTAATTGGAATCCTTACCTATGTCTTTTGCTGCCCTCAATTAGTTTGATTTTCCGTCCATTTATTTCTTTGCCAGAAAGCTTTTCAATAGCATTCTTTAGATCACTGTAAGAGGCAAACTCAACCACCCTAATAATAAAATAAAGTGTACAACTGGAGTCAAACTTAGTAACTCTAAGCAATTCAAAACATTTCTATTTCTTCTATGACACATTATACCCCACCCCTTAATACAGTAATTATTTCAATATATTTACCCTTCATTTAGTTTGGGCCTGTGTGCATCTGCAAAAGTCACTTCTCCAGCTTGTCTCATGAAGTCTTTGAGATCCTAACATAAGATTGAATACGTTAGAGAAAGCAGCAGACAATATTTATGAATATAAAAAATTACTACTGCAAAGAAAGATGTTAAGAAAAATGTGGCAGATGCCACACATGAAATTCTGTTTGACAGTATACACCAGGGCACGAAATAAATGAAAACAGCATACTGCTTTAAAAGCAAAATGCTAAATTTAAAATTACTTTATTTGTCTATATACTTTATTAAACTTTCTTGCATTCAGCTTATTTGTATAAAAACATTCTAAAATGTTTTATGATTAAAAACATAACATTTACTTTAAAACACCAGTTATTTTGTGCCCCATAGGTCATTAAAAATATAGTTTACTTTACCTTCATTAAAATTTCCCTAGGCTAGCCAAGCAGCAACCTGCATTAAGCGATCGAAGATACCGTCATGGTACATGCCCGACTGGCTCTTCGCCAACCATTTGAAGAACACTACCCAGTCGGTGGAAGCCTTTAATCGCACAGCCCTCCCTATTAGCAGACTACTGGTGGATCCAGACATTCTCTACTCTTGTGAAGTTACACCAAGGACCATGTTACTGCGATCAGGATTCCAACGACCACCTAATGCGTATCTTTCAACTCTCTCGATCACGATCTCTTATTTCGAAGCTTTACAGGAGGAGGTACAGTTCTCAACTTAGGAATCAGATCTCGTTAACTGTCGGGAATCGCTGCGACCCGGCACTCTAAGGAAGTGCACCGATTACGTCTAGACCAGCAAACACAGATCTAGAGGTGGCCAACTGATACACTGGAGGAGCTGACTGGATAAGTCAACCAGGCCCAACCAAGAGTGACCAAGACAGAACGATTAGGATAACCCACAGGCACTCCTCGTCATAAGGCCAACGACACAGATAGGCTGGCAAATAAAATGGATTTTTAAAGTGGTTAAAATGGAGTTTGAAAACAAGATAAAATTACATTGAAATACTATTAATCAACTTTTGAAAAATATATTTAAATATTAAATATTAATAATTTCAAAAATGTTTTAAAATTAAGACAAAAAAATTAGATTTAGTAATAAAGCATTTAACATTACATACCCATTAAATGAAGTCTAACAGATAATCATGTTTTAACAAACCTGCCAGCTGACTCGGGATGATAGATTTTCTACAATTAGACGATTTTCTGTTCTGACAGGTGGAGCATTTCTAATAGGAGACAAAATATTTAATTAAGCAATTACATCTCAACCAAGTATCACCCAACACATTTGCAATATTTCAGCCAGATGCATACCTTCTGTCATTTCGTGGGCGACGGCTGCTAAAACGGTCAGAGTAACGTCCTCTGCCTCTTCCACCTCTTGAACGAGCCCTTGCATGTTCAATTGTAACTCTATAGAGTAAAATAAATAAAACCACTGTTTACTTCAATGTTAAAGACAGAAATACTCTGCACAAACACATTAACAATTCTTAGAAAATATCAAAAGCTCAGAAAGATTTACCTCTCACTGCAAAGCTCTTTTCCATCCAACTCATAGACTGCATCATCAGCATCCCTTGGATCCTCAAACTCCTGTGAAAACAAGGAACTGCTACATTAGGAGAAAACCAAACTTATATCCATAACATAGTATTGCATCTAGGTTGCAAATCCATGATATAAATACCCAAACAGAACTTCTGATCAAACGTAACAGCATGACAGAATTTAGAGGTGTCCACCGCTGCTCAGTTGTTTATTTCTAGGAAAACTTTTTTTCTGTGTTTTCTGGAGAACTTATACCAGTAAAATACCACAAAGCAGTTAAAAATAACCTTCATCCCTGCTGCTTGAGTGTTAGCAGTTCGCTCTCACTTACCACAAATCCAAAACCCCTTTTCAGATCAATATCTCTGATGCGTCCATATCCCTTGAAAAATCTCTCCACATCTTTCTCTCGGGCAGCTGGATTCAGCCTTCCTATGAAGACGCGACAACCGCTCATGATGCCTCTCAAGATAGACCAGCTGTGAGGATAGAGAAGGGTATTTACAGAGGACGCCCTTCAACTGCTCTGTCCAAGTCCTTGGGAATCTAAGATGGCTGCCGCGAAAATAGGTCAGCGACCGCCAGCCTCCGCCCCCTCCCTGCTCAACTCCCTGCCGCAGTCCCAACTCCGCCCTTCTCTTGCCGCAGTCTGACGTCAAGCACGGCAGAGCGCCAAGTAAACCCCGCCCTAAAATGTCCTGTTCATTCGCGCAGCCGTCGAGTGCCAGCTTACGGTCGCCCAATCAGAGTACGCCACCTCTATGCCTCCTTTTGAGCCGGGGGGGGTTAGGGTGGGGTAGAGCGCCGTCGGGTTGCGCATGCGCATTAGAAAACATCGACCATGGTGAAATTAAACCGACGCCATCGTTCCTACAAAATGGCGGCAGGGCCGTACCCACCGTTTCGCCAGCATTGCTGCCAGTCGCCCTCTTGCATTTAAGAGATTAATAAACTGCCTTTCCATTCTTCACTGCGAAGCAGACAGTAACCTTGTACCCTCCCGAAAAAAATCCAAAACTCTGACGCGTTCCCCCTTCCGGATTTTAATTTCTCACTGCCCTGCCGTCTCCCCTCCCGCTCTCGGTCACCTAAGCGATCTCATACATGGAGAGATCTCACACATGGCTAATAAATCTTAAATTTTCACAAACCTGCTCTTGCGATCGTCCGTTTTGAACGAAGCCGGTGGCACGCAAACCAACAGAGAGGGAAAAAAAGGACCGGTCAACAGACCTCCAACCGCCTCAGCCGACGTCCAACTCGCGACTGGCTAGGTCCCTCGCTAACAGCACCACAAAATGGAAACTATCACCATGTGACTGAGAAGGCACGTGATGCCATTTCAGCTCAACGATTGGTTGAAAGGAGATAGAAAAAATAGGTCAGGCGTGGGGGAAGGGCGCTCGGCTCGCTGAGTCATGGGTGGGGAGGGAAATAAAGTGGTCAAACCAGCCTGTGCGCGTGCGCAGTTCAAACTGTCCGCCTCTACCCCTTAGCGGGTTTGCTATTTTTATTATTTTCCTGTAAATCTAAAGTGGGCTGTACGAAAATCTGACGTCGTACGTGTTTTAAGTTGCCTTGAGAGACATTGGCAGAGCCCTGGCCTGATAAGAGACTGGAGAATTCACAGTAAAGGGAGAGTGAGGTTGCAAAAGTGGCAAATAATGGGGGTAGGGCTCAGCACCGTCTCCCAGGTTTGAAGCACCTCGCCGCGTGTCACAGAAACTCGATGCCCCTGTCGATAAATTCGTCGGGCACAGTTTTATGCAGAAGTAAAATTTACCTATGTCGGTTCAGAGGGAGTTGTTCCTGAGAAATTTGCACAGTAGAGGAGCTGCCTTCATCCCGAAAACCTTGCTTCCTTTAAGACCCTGTAGCTCTGCTCTAATAACACTGCTTTTCTTGTTTTGGAAAAAAACTGCACAACACAATTCCCTTTATACAGTGTCTCTGACAATCGAAAGGATGCTAAGTAAATTTATGAATCCCAAATTAAAAACAGTAAATTAAAACATCGAAATTACATTATATATTGTATACATTTAATAATTCAAGTCATTACAAGCCTCTTCCGAATTTTCATGCGTTTCTGGGTAACAACTTCCACCTAGTTAAAGGATAAATGAAAAGTTAGAGATGTTATGCAATTACGAATTACACAAGTAAGGGTTATACAATTCAATTTAATGAAGATTTTGTAGTGAGTTCCTTCTTCACAGTGAAATGAAAAATAGTTTTTTATATTTTCTTAAGTATTGTTAGAATATTCCAAGATCTCTTGAGCTGGCAGTGTTTATATTTTTAAAAACGGGAGACTGGGCAATCAGGGTTTTTTTTTTAACCCCAGTATACACGCCTACCAGTGACTCATGCAGGCTGCTCTTCAGCCTCCATCTTAGATCTGAGTTTTACTGTGCAAACTTCATGGCAACAACATTGAGTCTAATGTTTTTGGTCTTTTTTTTCTCATCATCTCCTCTCCCACCCACTCCACAAAGCTTGAGGAGTTCTGAGGAACTTGAAAGCTTCGACATTTTGTGACATTTTGATATTATCCATCACTTTCGTTTTAGATTCTGTATCTCTTCAACCACAAATCTCGATGTCAGAAATGCTCTGTGAAGCTTTTTAATCAGATTGGCTGAGGAAGCTCTCTTTGGTTCACCATACATGCTTCACAAAACAACAAATTCTCCAGGCAATTTGAAGTAGGAATAGATGTCTTCAAGGTCCCCTTTCTGTGGGGAACCTTGAAATCTGATGTCTAATTACAGTAAAGAACATTTTTTTGCTAGGCAGATAAGGTTTCACACCAGCCAGCATCTTATACAGTAATTAATATTCAAACCCAAAGGTGGGCAAGGCAGATATAGTGCTGAATCGCAACTCTCAGGATTTCTCACTATTGGTTATGCTGTAATGGCTCATGAGAGCTGCAGATCAGTAACATTTGGAGTGGTGCTGTGTGCCCATCTTTGCTCTAATCACTACTCCATGTTAGCAAGGAAGCAGCCTCCTGGATGTTTGGCTGCCTTATATAAACATAGAATGCTATTTTGGTGTTATGGTCAGAGCAAGACCAGGCAAATTGCACCATGCCAGATGTTGCTGGATTGCAACTAGTATGAGGCCTTATTAGAACAGCCAATAGCGAGAAGTACTGGAGATTGCAGTCGAACCATATTTGGAGAGCTATACTTTGCTGGCCCTTGGGTATGAATATTTGAATGACATTTGGGAGATGAAGGCTCTGTTCCCTGCAGAATCATGAAACACAGTGACCTTGGACCAGTCAAAGGAGATGTAGAGCTGAGTATCATCATTTTAGCCTGACCTCTCTCACATGGCTGATGTACATGGACGGAATGGGATAAACAGAACTTAAGCTCTGGCAGGAAAGGTAGGATACAAATGTAACTAATAAATAAGCAACTTGATACTGTACCTTGTTGAACTTGGTTACAGAACAGCAAGAATTGTGCAGTTCTATGCATGTCTATTAAGAAGCACATCTCATTGAGTTCAGTGGACCTTCTCATTGTGCAAGTATAAGAAGAAAAGAAAAATCAAGTTCTGATCCGCATCTGAAGTTACTATTTATTGCTTTTCTTCCCCAAATCATTTTCCATCTTGTAGTCAACATACCCTGTTTCCCCGAAAACAAGACAGGGTCTTATATTAATTTTTACTCCAAAAACGCATTAGGGTTTATTTTCAGGGGATGTTTTATATTTTTTTCCATGTACAACAATCTACATTTATTAAAATACAGTCGTGTCATCTTCTTCTTCAAACCGTTTAGGGCTTTATATGTCAACACTTTGAAATCAATGCAGAAACAAATGGGCGGCCAATGCAAGGCAGCCAGAGTGGCAGAAATATGCTAATATCTTCTCATTCCATTAAGAAGTCTGTGTAAGGCTTATATTAGGAGTATCCTGAAAAATCCTACTAGGGCTTATTTTTAGGGTAGGTCTTATTTTCAGGGAAACAAGGTACCTGTCCATAGCAATACAAACACAGCATTAGAAAAGCCAGAAGGGAACAGTCTCAGAGAAATGAAAAAGAGAGAAGAAATACAAAATGTGTAGTTTATTTTTAATCTGTATTTATGCCAAATGGAATGGAGTATGCAACTTTAAAAAATATTGTAAACCTTAACCAGCTATAAATGTATAGCTTGAGGAGCAGTCACAGTAGTGTTCCAGGCGTAACTAGTAAGGTCTATCCTAAAATACTCTCTAAATGATTGATGGCAGTCTGTGGATTACTGTATATAGTCACATCTACGTGCTATACAGAATATCTCATTGCTGGGGGGAAAGCATGCTGAGCTTCTTTCCCTATATGTGAGTGATTTTTAGCAATGTGCCATGAGTAGCTCTTAATGTATTAATTTGTATGAAACGTTTTGATCTTATTAGATGAAGGATACTGAAATATTGATAGTGTAATCTTCCAAGAAAAAGATCAGATCCATGCAGAGTGGCACAAATACTGTGTGTATTGGAAGGATTTAAATCAGTTCCAAAGTCCAGGTGTTTAATGCAGTTTTTTATGACAGAGTTGATACTGTCAGTTGCTGTATTTCTGCATTTCCTATCTAGATAAGCCCTCGGCACCTGTGTAGCTTTACTTTTCATTCCTATTGTGTTACCTGTTTTGCTGTCTTCATGCTGTTTTATGACTTGGGCATTTCACATGTGTTTAGGTTATATATACTTTAATGCCAATATTTCTTGAATGTTTTTCTGCTAGATTACAACAGTGGATCAATCATGTGGGGCAAAAATAGGAGGGAGAGAGCTAAACACTTATCCCACTCCTGAATCTTTAATGATTATTCTTAAACCCACCCCCTGCTCATTTCTTTTTAGTCTCTGATCTCACTCTGAGCTAGGAGGGAAATAGGGAGGGAGCATTTGTGAGACAGAATTTAAGCACAGTGGATGTCAGGTGGGAGCTTACTCCACAATAAACTGGTTTATTGCCTTGAATATACACAGTGTTTCCTCCTCATGTTGGAAATTTTTTTGGAAAATCTTCAGCAGCAGTTGTTATGCTGTTGGGAATGTGATGTATTCCTCTGCTTAACTCAGGGGTTGTCAACTCCCAGTCCGTGGGTTTGCTGGAATGGGGCCGCAGATATGGATCTCCACCCCACCCCCCGTATGCACACATGGCAGGCGTGTCGCATTCACAGTATGTGTGTGTGACACCCCCCCGCGTGAGCATGACATGCCCACCGTGGGTGCAACATGCCCCCAGCCATTCCATGGCCCCAAAACGGTTGTGAACCGCTGGCTTAACTTTTTCATCCAGCCTTAGGTCTCTCCGGCCAAAATTCAAGATACTAATCACTACACTAAACTTTGCCAGTTTAATGTTTTATTGCTGTCATCAAAGTTGATATGAGAAAATTGTTTTTTGTTTTTGTTTTTTTCGGAGGAAGGTCTCTGTGTACCTATAACATACACACTTATGTAGATATAGCTCCATACAACTACCTTTTTTGGAATTTTCCTTGCATAAGTAGGATCATCATTATAAGTGCCTGCACATCAAAATGTTTGTGTATGTGTGAGAGAGAGATTTGTAATACAAATAGAGCATTTTGAACAATCTAGTGGCATTGTAATCTAGTTGCATCAAATGCAGCTTTGCGGCTTGTATGGAGTTTTAAAAGGTTGCTGGTGTGTAAAATGTTCCTGTATATATTTATTCAGAAGTAAGTTCCATTGATCTCTATGGGACATACTCCCAGGTAAGTAAGAAAAAGGTTTATACTTACTTACAGATACCTGTATAAAATTCCCTCTACCTTGTGGTTTGGAGCCTGGCTTCTCTGCATATTGCACACACACACGAAAATTAAATACGTACTTACATCATCCATAACTGTTCCCAATTGTATGTCCTTTGTACTCAGAACTGTAGGAAGAATACTCACAGGTATGGAGTAAAATATAGAATAAGTTGTCATATGATAAGAATACCATATGTCAGTTGCTTCTGACCTGTCAGTAATGCAGAGGTAAGGGAGGGGAAGTGAGGTGAGATTTCTCCCACTCCTGCCCCAAATGTGTAAGAGCATAGCAGGGACTCAAGACTGTGTTGTGCTGAGCAAATTGTTGTTTAGTCGTTTAGCCATGTCCAACTCTTTGTGGCCCCATGGACCAGAGCACACCAGGCCCTCCTGTCTTCCACTGCCTCCCGGAGTTGGGTCAAATTCATGTTAGTACTGTAGCAACCATCTTGTCCTCTGTCGTTCTCTTCTCCT